ATGAAATGTAAAGTGTTTTAAATTTTAAGTGTTTCTTGTTTGCAGTCTATAACCTTTTCCGAAAAAGGAAAATTGTCATTCATTTTTGTTAAAATCAAACAGTTGCAGTGCATGCTGTCTGAGCTATGTACAGTAATTACAGTATCATGTTAGCTTCTCTAGGATGTTTCTTTAAAGAAAACCATCCGCGTCATTAAAAACTATTCCACCCAGTGGGTGTCATGTAACATGTATGATCATCAGTGAGATGATTCAATCAGCAATGAGTTGTTAACTTCTGTAATCACATCTTAAGTCATTTTTACAAAGCCGTCAGATCAGAGTAGTCTCAGATACTTCATGGAAGCTATTATGAACTTAGGCTTTGTGCATGTGTTTATGTAATAATGGTTTTTTGCATTTTATACAGCAGAAGGGAGAAATTGCAAATATAGTGTTTAGTTTAGATATTGAGGTAGATTCTGCGTCTGTTTGTACTGATTAAAGCAAAAACTAAAATAAAAAAAATAAAAATAAAAAAAGTATTTAAATGAAAATATTACTTAGTCCCCAGGCATTCAGGCAATCTTTAGAGAACAATTCAGAGGTTGATAATCTTTGTGTCACAAATATAAAAAAACAACATACCGAAAAATTACGATAAACCTTAGTGGACAACCAACATTTTTTAAATGTTCACGTTCTGGATTTGTGGCTCTTCAGAGATCTGTTTCCTTCCTGTGTGCTTGCTTGTTGCTGAGTATTGATTTCTTCTGTGATTACTCTCATTGGCTCCTCTCCAAGCTTTCAGAGGTGTGTTATCTTATCTAAGGCATTCGTAAGACCGACCCCCAGAGTCTCACTTTTACACCCTTGATTTTGCTGTGAAATCTGGTACCATACTTTTAAAGAACACTTCTTTTTTCCTTCATATAATCACCCTTATATGAATCCAGCATGACTTACGTTTTGTGTGGAACACAAGAAGATATTATACAGAATGGTCACACTTCTCTTTTTCTTTCTCATTTCTCATTTAATTTTTCTCATTTCTACACTGAAGGTAGAAATGGGGGAACTAAACTCCAAAAATGACAAAATATTAATTTAATGATGACAAAAATTTGGTTTGTTACTCAAACAAAGCAGAGACTTAAAATAATGGGAATGATTATTTCAGAAACATGGAATATAGTGCACAAGTTGTATGGACCAGTGTCATTTTAGTATCATCAGTGTATTATTTTTTATTAGTATTTAATATATTTTTTTTCTATTTTCCATTTTTCTTTTAATTTTAGTTTAAGTATTAGTAATTTTATAGTAATAAATTTAAGTATTTAAGTTTTCTATATAGTTTTTTATAGGTTCATATAGTTCCAAATTCGTATTTTGTTGAGTAAATTATCACAATTTTAACTTCTGGGAGAACTATGCCTTTAAGAAAGTCATAATTGTTTTCTAACTTCAGAGACTACAGAATCTCTATGCTGTGGTAGAGTTCTCACCTCTGCTGAAGCTGAGAGAAATTTAGGTCACCTCTAGGTTAAAAGAAACTAAGAAAATTAAAGCTTATTACCCTTTTTTTGTGGTCTAGGGTGCTATTTGGAAAACCATTTGTTCCAAGTTCATCAGTGGTAATAACTCCGTCTCTGCCTGAGTCATGGTTTTCCTTTGCTTAGTATAAAAGGGGCCCCACAGCCATGAATCTTTAATGGCGACACCAGATATTTGGTCTTTCCTTTGAAACCCTGCTCACCATCATAAGCCCAGTTGCTAAGAGAGCCCGACTTGCCTCGGTTTAATGTGTCAGCACTTCTGATGTTACGTAAAGCCACACAAATTATATCAATCTCTAATTCATGAGCGGCAGGCCAGAGACAGGCCTTGGAGACGCAAGCACAGATGCAAACGGCCGTCGTCATAACATAGAAAACCAATCCTGAGAACTTTTACTGTAGACTTGACCTTAATTTGCACTTCAGACTATTAACCTTTGCGGAACGGGACAATTAATTACCCTCGCTTTGTATAGCGCCCTCAAAGAAAGCCCATTTTGTTCATAATGATCCAATGATTCATTCACTGATCTGTGTTGCAGAATTCATGGTGTCGATTTTGTGTGATTTATATTCTGCTGTCGTCTTCTCATAACTTGCCATTAATTTTTGGATAAAGGTGCGCAGGGAGGAGAAAAGCCAGCGGGTTGAGACCGGATTCCTCCTGCTAACAACAGCAACCACTGGCAGTCGTAGATCTCGTCTTGCCTACTGTGAAGGAGCATGTTAATCAAATCAGTCACTCAAGGACTGCAGCATAGCACTGTCTCATTGCTTGCCACTGTAAATCAAGAGAGCGGATAGTAGGTTCCTGCAACGCTGGGGTAAAATACAGCACACAGGATATAAGCAAAATGCAGGTCAACATTGAAGCTAAAAGCAAAATTAGTTCGATTACGTTTAACATTGGGTGCAAAGGGAAACTCAGACGATTAGAAGTTTTGAATATGGTAGATACCTTCTAAAAATCTGGTTGCTTTCTCTGTTAAAACCTCCTGGGGTCGACGGTGGCGCCGGCGCCACCACGTGCATGTTTTACTGATAAGAGCAAAAAGAACTTTAAATGCTCGTTCATTTTTGTTTGTACACATAAGAGTAATACACCATTCGAATCTGTAAAGGGTCTACTTTTATTTGTGTACACTCACAATATCAACAAAACATTGTGCTTTTGCAAAATAAAGAAAATATACAGGGTGTGCTTTTAGCCGTCTCATTCTCCGCGCATATCTGTTTGAAACGCGTCACTAAAATGAACTGAAACTCAGCGAATATTTGACACACACACATGAGAGACATATCTATAGAAAGCTTAACATGTCTACTTTTAAACGAACTAAGTCATGACGAAAACAAATATTATGTGACAAAGTAATCAGCGATGTCACCAGGGCCCCAAAACACCCTCGACCCCAGAGGGTTAAAAAGCAGTCAGTTTTTTCTTGTTTTATATAATTTTTTTTGTAGTTTCTTTTGACAGTGAAATGTCAAAGTATGGTTTTTCATGTAGTATCAAGATGCAACATGTCTGTAGAACATTTGCTAATGGCAAGGCCATGGCTCTGTGTCAATCATGTCTTTGTTGTTCTGCTGATGTAGAAATTGCATCAGACTCAAACTGTTTTGCGATCTACTTACATTGGTTTTAACAAATGGGACTTGTTTACAATCATTATCCGTGTCGGTCCTGAAACAAAATTACCTTAACCAATTGGGGGTTGGGGTGTGAAGAATTCTCATCAATCTGTCAGTTGATTTTTGAGTTAATGGTTAAGGTTGGGGGTTGGGATAGGAGTATATTTTTTATCCAGCTGATTTTCATCAGGGTTTGAAGAACGTTGTTATTGTCCCTGTGCTTGTAGACTGAAATGGTTAAGGGTACACTGCAAAAAATGACCGTGAATTTAACGGTAAAAGACTGTAAAAATGCTACAGTAAATACTTGTTAAATGATTAACGGCAAATTCCCCTACTATATACGGTGAAAAACTGTATTGGACATTACATGTAATTTTACGGTAGTATACCGTTTTTGGAAGTGAAAAAGACCGTATAATTTACAGTGAATAACCGTAAACTGACATTCCCGTTGTATGTTACACCTAATTTTGTTAAATGATTGTTTATTGCATTATTTCAGTTTCATGTGTGTTACCGTGATGGTGTTTAGTGTTTGTGTGAATGACACTGTGCACGTGTATTACAAAGGTACAAAACAGATTTCAGTACTTCAATAGGTTGGTATATTAACATTATATCAGTTAATGAAATTACAGTATTTAACTGTAAATTTAAGTTAAATCCGTATAACCTAAAACGTTGCTACCGTATTTTTTACGGTAAAATTCCGGTAACCACAGCTGCCATTTTTTTACTGTAAATTTTACAGATTTTTTTTTACAGTGTATGGTTGGGGTTCTTGTCAACCAGAGTTTAGGGCTGGGGTTGGGATTCCAAAATTATCATAATATCCATCAAATTTGTAGACTTTTTAGGTTTAGTGACGACATGTATGATTTAAGGATATTTTTAATTGACAGGAGTGCTCTACCAGGACAAAAAGAGATACAGATCTAGGTACATTTTGTCCTAATTGGCAAAATCACTTTGATTTCCAGCTATTGTACTTTGTAACTATGATTTTGCCAAGTAGGACATTCATGGATCAACATTTTAGTTGGTATTGTAATTAAATAATGTAGAACCAGTGGAGATCGGGATTGAAATGTTTGAAAAAAAGTCTTGATTAATTGATATTATGCACCGTAATCATAATTTGTGTGAAGTGGAAAACAAGTTGTTGGTGTTTTACTGTCACTAGTGTTAATTTCAACTGGAAACTGCAGTGAATTATATGCATTGGCAAGTTTTTGCAAAAATGTAGGTAGAGGTATGTTTTTCCAAAGAGCCTATGTTGATTTTAGGGGTTGTTATTTTTTAGGAGTGAGTTTAGGTTTGTATATGTTTGACAGGAATGTTATCCAAAACCACTTGTGGTCTGCTTGCTTTGATTTTGCCTGAAGCAATGTCCTCATTGGTGTTCATTTTCAACATCATTTCTTTCAACCAGTCAGTTTTCAGTGTTAAGTTAGGGTTTTTTATTACCTCATAATTTCCATTTGATTTTAATGGTAGTTAATGGTTAAAGGTAGACTTAAAACTATATTTGTTTGACAGGAATGTTCTTCCAGCAACATTTCCTACTTTTGCAAATTCACGGTCATCTTGAGAACCACCAGAAAATAAATGTACTCGAGTGAACACCACTTGCTAGTAACACTGCTTGTCTTCTGAATTTTTCCATGTATATGTCTATTTCTGTTTGGTTATTTCCTCTGTCTTATCTCACAAGCATCGGAGGAAAATTTGATTTTGTGCTTCTATTTTCTTCTGTCTCTCCCCACCTCTCTGTCACTCCATCGTTCTCCTGCTCTCTGCCGATGACACTATCTATGACTCCAGACTGGCAGTATGAGGGTAAGACGATGTATATTATCTTTCTGTTTCTCTTTTGTTCTCTCATCGGGCATGAGAGCACAACTCTATTAACCCTTCGCAACCCCAGTGGTAACAGCTCTCTCTGTACACATAAAGAAGTCATTTTGTAAATCTATCTTTGACTTGTGGCCCCTCGGTGCCAGCAGTGGATAGGTTACAGTACTCGTAGATCCTTTTTTTATGTGCAGGTTGTGTGACTTAATGTGAGCTGAAATTGAAATGTCTTGTTTAGTATGAGTTACGTTGCAGTCTAGACTTGATGAAATTCTCATGTCTCTTTTTTTTCTGTTCCTTTTTTCCTTACATTCTGTGTCCTTGCTTTTCAGAGTGCAAGCTCTCCAGAACAGGCCCGCCTGCAACCATTGTAGCCATAGATGAGGAGAGTCCAAATGGTAGGTCTATATTGTTGGTTTCTTTTTTTATCCACATTTCATTAAACTAAAATGAGGGAGAGTCTTTTGAAAGAATATGGTCAGAATTCAGAACAGCACTTGAGTTTAATCATTAAATTCAAGTCTGCTTTGTTTTGGTTTAGCTTAGATTAACTTTAAAAATATGAGGTGGACAGTTTGCTAAAAATGAATTGTGCTTGCTTAGTGCAACATTTACTGGCACAGTTTTTGCTATTTTGGTGCTGATTCACTAAAGGAATTACGGTAAAAAAGTAACGGCACAAATGTGTCCATAAAATGCATGCTGAATGCAATTTGCGTTTTGCAGTTACCAATTTTGCAGGTATGTTGCTAGTTGCTTAGAGTGCTTAGTTGTGAGGATTCTTGTTCACAAGCTCACAATTTGATTTGATTCTGATTTTGTTTGATTCAATTAAGATTCATTTGAGTATATAGAGTTCAAGTTTTGTTAAGAACAAGCTGAACTGAACTGATCTGAATAATGACATGATTGTCGACTGAATTTAATTAGTTCATAATTAATGAATTTTGCGACATGGCCATTGTTGCAACTAAAATGTATCAACAGTGAATTGACTCAAGCTGATTAATGATTCTATTGTCTTTTGCTTATTGCTCATTTGAAGTTCTTTCAAAATGAATGAACTTTACACAGTTACTGAACTGAACTGAACCAACATTAAACTGACTGATGCTGAATAATGACATTATTGTCTTGCTACAGCTGCTTTATAGTAGAATTTTGGATTTGCCTCATTTTTTAATTTTGCATTATCGATTTTTGATCCTGTTCAATATTGTGAAGCTGTTTTGAAAATCTCTATTGTATAAAAAAATGCAAAAAATGAAGGCGACTTGACTTGTATTATATTTCATCACTGGTAGAAACTTGATATTGATTCAGTAACTGCTCTGATAGATTAAGTGAGTTCAGTGAAGCCTTCAGCAGACTGAAATGTAACTCCTGAGTTTGAGTCTTGATTGGTCTGATTGGTCTTGAGATAAAGGACTTGCTCAAGAGGGTCAATTGTGTATGTAAGCTGTTCCTACATAGATAAGATCCCTACAGTTGCAAAGACTAAAGTCTCAAACCCAAAGAGATATTCTTTATAAAAGTTAAGACTCGTCCACACCCTCCTAAAACACCTCGTTTAAACATGTCTATGTCACTCAATAATGTACAGTATGTGGAAAAGAATGTGTTTTATGAACCGTACACCGCATAAACACATTGCATTACACCAAATACACAAAATAATGTTCTTTTTAGCAACGTCATATGACCCCTTTAAATATTTTTTGATTCACAAAAAGAACTGGTTCATATGGGTCATTTGTTAGAGAATCAGACTACACTGGTTGTGCTGTAAGTTTTTGATCCTCTAAAAAGAACTGGTTCATAAGAGTCATTTGTTTGAGATTCAGGTTGCATTGACCATGCAAGGATAAAAAGATACGTTTTCTTGCCATCATTTTATGGTAATGATCTTAATTTACATTTAAAAGAGGTGTGTTTGTGCTCAATGACAAATGACTTACTGTACCATGAATATGTAAATTGCTGTCTCAGAGCAGTCATTACGTGGTTAAACTGGACTGTGGGTAGTTAGTTAATAAGAGGCAGATTGAAATACAGCGTACAAAAGTGCCGCAGCTCTCCTGTGTGATTTCCTTCATTGTGTGCTAATTGACAGTGATGGATGTGAACAGATTTGCTCAAATCAATTGGAGAACATTTTTGGACAAAACGATGTGTATGTTGCACTGATGAAAGCAATTTTTGTTCTTCACACTTACCTTAGACCTCCCATGGTGCACCTCACCAGGGTGCAGATGCACAGATGGTGTACAGTACGCTGCTACTTTGATGGGCCTTTTCAAGTACTGTCTTTTCATCCTCTCTTCATCTGCTTTCTGCATCTGTGTGCTCAAATACCGTGGTGCTATAAGAAGGCTTTAGGATAAAGTTGACAGCTGCATTTGCCTTTGAACATAATTGGAACATCTTACAGGTGTGAAAGAGGGTCAACACTTCTGCAAATGTAATTTTAATTAAGCAGGAAGCACAATTTTTGCTAATAAATTTCTAATAAATTTCACAAACAATTGTAAAGAAACAGCCATTAACACATTAAATTAAACATTAAATTTTGAAGTAGAAAAACTGAAATAGTATTTTCTTGTAAAAAGTATTCCAAAAATCTGGATAAAAAAGAGCATTTTGATTTTATGATTTAACATGTAATGATACCATACTTTAGCATATTTAAAAGTTATATTTTGGTATTCAAAGTGGTACTAGCCTTTTGAGCTCTTTAAGTTTCTATGTTTGTAGTGCAGAAAGTGTTATAAATTTGACAGTTTCTGTCTGTATTTTTCAGTGTTTGGAGATTATCTCAGCGTACAATTTGATTTTAGTATGAGCACATCTCTTCTCTCTATTTGTCTTCAATACCACATCACTGCAGAAATGGATGAAATAGTTGAGCGTTTGTCTAGAAATTTGAGAAGTGTTTGCTTGGTCAAATTAAGGAAAATCACTTCTCTTTGGCTTATTTCAGTGCTTCTATAAATTGGCAGGATTTGTAGTAATCTCTTCTTTTGCAATTTACCTTGAAATTTCTCTACTACAGCTGTGAATCTCTATGCAATTATTAGACTAAAGAGTAATCATATTCATCCAAGAGTATTATCCTCCTTAATGTATGCAATGAGATGCTGCCTTTACCTCAAATTACAGATAATGTGCTGTTTTTCTCCATTTTCACTCATTTTATCCTCCCGTCTCTGAGATCCACACATTATTTTTAAAACCCCTTGAAAGCTATGCCACATAAAGGATCATCATTTTGGCTAAAAAATGTGTCAACTTTGGAAAGTTCAAACTGTAATCAAAGTTGTCACAGGGAAATAGTGATAATGTTTGCTCTAAGGAGACATATCTTTCTCTCGCTTTCCTTCTTTCTGCCTTTTGTACACTTAGTCGCACTTTACAATACATGTATAATACATTATAATTACATTGATAAGTACTGAGTAAAAATATTAAACAGCATTTACTCAGGATGGTCAAGATGGCAAATTAGTCATTTAATAACTGACAAAATGATTGCTGACGTTGACTAGTTTTGGAGTTTTTAAACTGATGGCTGTAATGGTGGTACATTAAAGGGAATAAATTAAAAAAGGAAGCAACTTAAGCATGCTTTTGATTTCTGTCTGTCGAAGGGCTGCATGTTCTCAGTTTTTTTTTTATTCTTGGTTAATGTCAATTTTTTTAGTTGTTGGCCATTGGGTTGGATCTCCATGAGTCTATCATTTTAAAAATAGGTACATTTTTAAACATGCACTTTGCGAGTATAGCCTGCATTCTGTTCCATTTCGTTGTACTTTGTCCAGAATACAAGAGCTATGCAGGGTCTGAGACCAAATAGCTGTTCAGACGACTTAAATATATAAAAACATGATAAAAAAGCAGTTTTTACAAGCATCATGAATTATTAATTCTCTAATTTCATGGGGAGTCACGCCATTTTACAACCTGAACTAACCTTTTATTTATTTATTGCATGTTGGTGAATTTGATTTAGCAGTCAAAAGTTGTTGTTTTTTTCTTTTAAATCAAGTTTCTTCAAAGGGCCTCAAAGGAAAATATCTTATCATAGAAGAGGTGTATTCAAGTCATTGTGTGTATGAATTGCATTTTTAATGTATATTTAAAAAAAGTAATTTGGAAAAAAAAATTTACAAATTCAATATCACTAGTGTGGGTGTTAGTCAGTTTGACTTTTAAATACTGATTTTAGATGTATTACACCTAAGAATGAGTCATTTTAGCCTGTGAGATTTCAAGCACTATAATAATCATCTCTCAGGTTGTTGCTTTGATGGTATTCATTTATGAATGACATATCTGTGAATTGTGTATAAAACTACTCATATACTACCAGTTTCGATCAAAATATGCAAAATCTGCTATGCCCCTGTAACTGCTGAGTAATGCATTTAAATGGAATAAGTGACTTTTCCAGTGGTAGGAAACAAATCAACCTGCAACCTCAAGGATGGTTTCATTTAGCACTTGATTCAGCAATTTCTTCAAATGGCTGGAGTTATGATACTGAAAAGACTTTAAATGCTGAAAAAAAGAAACAATTACACGAGGAGCCTCTCAGCATTGTTTACTCCTGTAAGGCACTGAAGACCATTACACAATGATCATTATTACATTAGCACCTCATTACCGTTCTTGTGCTCCTCTTTGTACAGTGAATGTTATGTATCGGGGGTGAGGACCCTGATGTTGATCGAGCGGACATTGGAGGTTACCGCATGGGTTGCAGGATAGATTAACTGTCAGACCTCGATAAAGTTGGTGGCTCAATGGGTGACCAAGCCAAACCCGGTTTAGCACTGAAAGTTCCCTTTGAGTGTCCACAACAGTGGAGAAGACAAAGGTGGAAAGTTTGGATTGGTAGGTAATTATGGCTACATTTAAGTGAAGACTATTGACCTAGGCTAGATAGTCTAAAATAGTTTGGGATGTTGGTGTTAGGGTATAAGTGGGTTTGTTGGAGGCTTTAGGGGACTCTTGAGAGCAAGCTGACCTGTTGTTTGACTGCAAGGATAAAGGGTGGAAGGGCATCCATTTATATCCTGACTTTCGACATGCCTTGCATCAACTCATCATCTTCATCTGACTGTGCTCTCCTCTGGCTCTTGTTAAACGTCCCTTATGCTCTCTGTTCATCCTCTCTGCGTCCAATTAGAGCCACAAAACTGACCGAAGTGACCCCTGCTTGATGATTAGATTTGCTCGTACTTGAGCCAACTCTGTCAATTAGTAGGCTACATTTGATCTGAGTTATTAGTTTTGTCCTCGTCTTTGAGTTAGGACTAGGGATGTGCGCGACGACTAATTTGACTGACGTTTAAACAGGACCAGAATCCATTTCCTTCTTTGAGGCTGAGACCTACTG